GCTTTGCTCTTAATAACATCTTGGAAGAAGTCTTGTGCAGGACTATGATTTAAAGTATTCTTCTATAAGAACATGGCTTTCTATAACTAAACTGTGTGCCAATATTATAGTTGAGCAAGAGGGGAGCCCTAGAAAATAGTTGTTTGCTGTCACTTTGAATCATCTCTACTGAAAGTTGTTTGTTTGTTAACTTATCCATATATTCCTTTGTGACTTTCTATTCCTTCATTCTCTTTTTTTCCCTACCTTTTAAAATACCTTCCTCTGGAGTCTAAACCAGGGGTGAAATGCTTCCGGTTCTGACCGGATTGCCCGATCAGGTAGCGATGGAGGCGGGTGGTTCGGAGAACTAGTACAAAAATCCCTGCCCCCCACCCCATTGCCCAGCTGAGCCACGCAATCATCAGAGGCTTTTTTTTTATTTTTAAAAGCATTTTTTCTACAACCTCTTCAGCCGAAGACATTATAGAAAAAATGTTTTTAAAGGGAAAAAAAGCCTTTGCCGATCAGGCAAATCAGCTGGGATCGTCAGAGGCTTTAAAAAAAAAAGAAAGCCTGTGCAGATCAGGCAAGTTGTCAGAGGCTTTAAAAGCATTTTTTTTACAACCTCTTCAACCGAAGAGGTTATAGAAAAAATGGTTTTAAAAGTTAAAAAAAAAAAAAGTTGGCCACGCCCACTCAGTCATATTACTCCCCCCCCACCAAGCCACGCCCACAGAACCGGTAGTAATAAATTTTACATTTCACCACTGGTCTAAACTCCTTTTCATGTCATAACTTGCTTTAGGAGGAGGAATCTAATAATAATAATATAATGTGCAACTGCCCTACTATTTTTAATGCTAAAATAAGTTTATGGTGGCGTCATTTAGAGGAAGACCCTTCCATGCAGTGGAGGACATGAATCTACTTCTCTATACACTTAGTCCTCTTCCCTATATAAAGTAGTTGATATGTTTTAAGATCAAGCTCTGTTTTTCCACCTTCTCAATTCAATTACCATGCTGGCCCGATGTTTCCTCTTCGCATTGGATAGACCTGGCTGAAGTATCACGGGCCGGCCCCTTATATTTTCCAGGACTGCCCTGCAGGCCAGATCTGACCACATTGTGGGCCAGATTCGGCCTGTGGGCCTTGTGTTTGACACCCTGCTCTAAATGCATCTTTAGTGGATCAAAGACTGTGAATTCTCTGAGTGCACTTGATGATTCTTTTGTTCTCTTGAACTTATTCACCTGACTTCTGACATCTGGAAATGTGATTTTAATTGCTCCAGGAAGAATGTCACATTATATACTAAACACCTGATTTATATGTGATACTTATAGAGTTTGCCTGGCCATATGCCAGAAAGTTAAACAGGAGAAGGCTCTTACTTGGGAGTATGCAGAAGAAATCTTTCTCTAAGAACATATTAAGGTGGAATATTCCAGCACTTAATGCCAAGTATATTGTATATTCTCTTTACTCTTCTTTTAATTCGCCCAACTCTAGATAGCAATTCTAGTTCATGGTGGCTGAACTGAAAAAGCTAAACAAGGTTGGATTTTGACAGACCGGAGAGCAGGAAATGCCACTTCTGTAGGCCAGTTTGTACTAGTTGGTTGTAGTGTTTAAGATGTTGGACTAGAAGTAGGGCAATCCAGATTCAGTTCTATCCTGAACACTATCTCAACAATTTTATGTCAATTGCTCACTTACATTCTAACCTTCCTCAAAACCTGCAGTTGTAGGAATAAAATAAAAGAATATTCTTTATAAACTGCCTCTGGGGGAAAGGGCAGGATACGAATCTAGCAAATAAATGCATAAATAGATTGATGGGGGGGGGGAATTATTCCAGGAGAAGATGGTGGCAAAACACTTCTTCAGTGGCTGTATTCAAGAAGTTACCAGGAGTCAAAAAGAAGTTATATATTTTGATTCAGGGCTCTAGTTTTTTAAAATGTTACCTTTCCCAAACAATATTTTATACTTTTAAATGCAAGTATAAACTGCTTTTCAAAAAAACAAATCAATTATTTAAATAATGTTCTTCAGTTACCATTAAAATGTGGTAGCAAATATGTTTCATTGTACCTCTGCAGAATTTATTCCTTTTGGGCTCTTAACATAATATCTAGGATGCAAATGGTCCTTGACCATTGCCAAGGTAACATAGGAGTTGTTTATTTACTCTCCTTCTTTACCACCCATTTTTACAGGCTCTGTGTGGTTAACTAAACAATTTAATAAACATACCCTTCCAAATGCATGCAAAAACAGAATCTATATAAATAAGTCATGAATGATGCATATTATAAAGCAGCTTCCTACTAAAAGGAACTAAACGGAAATTTTTTTTACAAGTTTCCGAAACAAAGGACAGATGAAACAGCCCAAATTTCTGTAACTTTGGATAAAACTTGGCTCTGAGGTCCGTCAGATGATAATCTTGCTCAGATGGGACCTGTATTTGACTCTGTGAGTTCTAGTTGGATGGGAGAGGAATGTCAAATAACCAAGAGTGAAGCCATGACGACTGGTACCTTGAATCTCATTGGGAAGCTCATTGGTAACCAATGGAGCTGCAAAAATATTGGAGCCATCTAATTGTATTAAGGCATTCCTATCACTGCCTGCCTGGGCCACCACAGCAGCATTTGGTTGACATACAGGAGAGAAGAAGAAATGGAACGAGCATGGGTAGCAAGCAAGAAGAAAGACAAAAAGGAGACTTATGAATAAGCAATGAGATAGAGAAGAGAAATGGTCTACATCAGGGATGTCAAACTCACGGCCTGTGGGCTGGATGTGTCACGTGCTGGCCCCGCCCCCGCCCAGTTTAGCAAAAGGGGAAAAAGTCTCGAAATGTCACTTGACGATGCTGTGATGACGCTAATTTGACACCCCTAGTCTATATGAATTGGGTATTGAGGCTGTAGCAGGTGTAACCGAAGCCCTGGCCCAGAAAATACTAGATGCACAACCTGGAGAAGGTGGATATCATTTACTATTGTTTCCTTTGGTTACTCATGGCTAACTTTAGGAGTTAGTCCTAAGGATACATTTGAATGAAAATAATAACATTGCTCTGCCCAAGTGTCATTTCCCTTACAAGATCAGTGCCTTCTCACTGATTTTCTTGGCAGTCTATTCCCCATTTGACTTTGTTCTAAATAAAACATTTCCTATCATGTATTTATATACTTAATACACAGGCATCACCCATAATCTTTGCACAGAGGAGGAATTGCAGGAATGAAAAACTGGGTAATTCTCCAGAGAGGGAAGCCCTTACTGATAACATCTACCAGTAAGAAATTGACCTCTATAAACATCAACACTAATGAAGCTGGTTTCAAGGAGGGAATTGCATTTTGTCGTATTCTTGCCTAACCCGCTCTCATGTAGGAAATGTGTGAATGTTTTTAGTAGGCTTGAATGAGGCAGCTTAAGTACTGTACATCTTGACAAAGAATCTCATGCTGTGAATGCCACACAGCACTCTTCATCAAGGCAAAGAGCTGTAAGGCCTCTTCTTGATTTTCCCCAAAGCTATTCTTGAAGTGCTGTCTACCCATTTAAGAAACCATGACATGTATGCTTGGTATGAGTGTTTCATTATTGTTTTTTTCGATCCAAAAAGCAAGATTAACCACAAACTCTTAAGGTAAAGGTTCCCCTCGCACATATGTGCTAATCATTCCCGACTCTAGGGGGTGGTGCTCATCTCCGTTTCAAAGCCAAAGAGCCAGCACTGTCCAAAGACGTCTCCATCATGGCCTGCATGACTAAACGCTAAAGGTGCATGGAATGCTGTTAACTTCCCACCAAAGGTGGTCCCTATTTTTCTACTTGCATTTTTTACATGCTTGTGAACTGCTAGGTTGGCAGAAGCTGGGACAAGTAATGGGAGCTCACCCCGTTACGCAGCACTAGGGATTCGAACCGCTGAACTGCCGACCTTTCTATCGACAAGCTCAGCGTCTTAGCCACTGAGCTACCACATCCGTACCAAAAACTCTTAGAGCTTGCATATCCTTTGGAAATCACATCCAAGGAATGGAGGCCTATTTTATTTGTCAGGGGTTTCTTTCCCAGTTATATCTATGTAAAAACTGAGTTTATATATTTTTTCTTTATTTTACTTTTAAGGAAGCTATATCCTGTTCTCTTGTAAAGAAAAGTAGCTCTGATTTATCTCTTTAAAAGCAAAGTGGTGTTCTGCTGCCAATCTCTCTCACTCTACAGTTTTTTTAACATTTTCAGATGTTAAAAGTCCAAGTTATGTTGATTCTCAGTAATCTGCTGCTTGATTCTCAAGGTTAATTAGACCAGTAATTTGTTATTTTTGCCCTCTGCATTGATAGAACTTGAAGCTTCAGAGACAGATTTCTCCAAATTCATGGCATTATCTTTTTGTCATCATTTCATGATAATTCAATATTTTTAAAGATGCTGTCTCACATTTCCAAAGCCCAACTCATTTTACAAAGCTGGTCAGCATAACAATAATACAATTGTTGAAGGTCTGCGATTGTTGGAACTTTCTTTGTTAAATTGATAATTATTTATATTAGTTTTGTCCATGGATTTACCTGTACTAATAAAATAAACTTATCAGAGGAGGCATGTAAAAAGCAGAACAGTTTAATTCATATTTGAGTACCTACTAAAATATAATACTATGTGTGGAGAGTACAGAGGATGGCAGATGACAGAGGGAGGGAAGATCTATTACCAAGGGAACAAATAGATGATGGGGCAATATGCTGACTCTGTAAACTGCTTATAGAGAGGCTGTAAAGCACCGTGAAGCTGTATATAAGTCCAAGTGCTATTGCTCTCTTGATGCTCTTAGTTTGATTACTAATTTTGCTTTTTTTGTCAGATTCCTCAAACATATAATACTTCCTGATCATGCCTTTTCTATCTTTTCGTTAAAATTCTGTTTGTTGTTGACATGGGTTATTTTGATCCTCAAGAGTAATTTTCTTATTGGGCTTTTTTTTCTGCAGGATCTGGGAATCTCCTTTTCTCTTGGCTGCCAAGGAGAACAATGTTCAAAGTCTTAGGAAATTAATCCAAGATGGTTCTTGTGACATTTATCAAAGAGGTAATTAAACCTATTCTGAAAAGAGAATTTTCAAGTGCTGCATTAAAATTACATGCATTAATTTCTCCATTCTTTGATCCTCTGCAATACATATATGCATTTGTATATAGAAATGTGACTCTTCTTTCACATTATGTTGTTGTTACATGCTGGTTGGGGAGTTCTGGGTATTGAAGTCCAGAGGTCCTAAAGTTTCTAAGAAACACTCCACTAGGGGTGTCCAAAATAGCCATTAAGAAACATTTTGGTACAAAACAATATTTTGAAGCAGAACATTTCTAGATTACTTGGAACAATCCATTCCAAGGTCGGAACGTTCTGTAACTTAACATTTTGCAACCCTTTAGTACACACCCAAGACTAGTGAACACCCAGACGCATGCTTATTGCCATTGGATGAGAAAAGACAAGATGGAAGAATGGTGTACAATTCACAGCCAAACTACAGTGCTCTGACCTACGTTACATAGCAAGATGGAATAGTTTCCTCACCATCACAGAGCCCTACTTCTGTTTTGGGCCTCTTTGCAAAGCTCTAAATTTTATATTAAAAGATATCCATAAGTAAGGCAAGCCAAACTTTCTCCCTTTCCCTTTCATTTTAAAAAGACAGACAATAGATAGATGTTTCTCAACTTACATATCTGTTAACCTGCAATGGGTCAATATGGTAGATTATAGTCCATAACCCTCAATAAAGAAGTTTTTGTTCTGTAGTTGATTGATTCAGCTGCTGCTGTTGATAACAACATGTTTTCTGTATATCTTTCATGTGTATGAGACAGATGTCTGAATCAACAAGCAAGACTTGGTTGTAAACTCATTGGTTTTTTTTATTATTCTGTGCAGGAGCGATTGGGGAGACGGCTCTCCATTTAGCCACCCTCTATGATTGTACAGAAGCTGCTGATTTTCTTCTGGAAGTCGCTCCAGAACTCATCAATGAGAAAATGACATCAGCACTTTATGAAGGTGATCGCTATTAAAGAGCTGATCTAGGATTTTTTTAAAAAATTAAAAGTTTATATTGATAGCAAATACATATAGTTATTGAGATCCTCCATACCTAAGCACGATGCCCAGATGACATAAAATACAATAGCAATAAGATTTACATACTGCTTCATAGTGCTTTATAGCCCCCTGTAAGCGGTTTACAAAGTAAGCATATTGCCTCAGCAATCTGGGTCCTCATTTTACCAATCTTGGAAGGATGGTAGGCTGAGTCAACCTTGAGCTGGTGAGAATCAAACTGCCGGCAGTCGGCTGGCAGTCAGCACAATTAGCCTGCAATTCTGCATTCTAACCACTGCGCCACCACAGCAATGTCATGATATAAACTCTGCTTTTTTACACTTGTGTCACATGATACAAAAATATGTTAGAAGTGGAGCTTATGATGCAATATATTGATATAGCTCTTTTCTCTATGGACCATCATTTGCCCGAAGGTATGATTGGCCTTCACCCTGTTGTTTTTCTGAAAGGCCATGAAGACATGGTTTTGTCAGCAGGCCTTGGGACCACAAGTGAACATGGAGCCTATCCAGTGGTTGATTTGACTCTGTTGCTGCTGCCAAGGAGTGGGGAGTGTTAATGGGTTTTTATGTTGTGAATTTTTAATGTTGTAAACCATCTGCAATCATCTATGTGCGAGTTAGATGTAGGTTTATTAAACAAATTTTAAAAATTGTTTAATAAATAAAAAAAAATTGTAACACATGATTGAACACCTGATGTAACACTGGCTGTTGCTTCAAATATTCATGATATCAAATCAGAAAACAGAATGAATGATAATAGGAACAAAGTGTTTGAACAGCTATTGTGTATAGTAAGAATGGGGATTTTTATCTTTTTTCCTGAACTATTTACTGCCTGAAAAACTAAAGCATCAAAGCTGAAATTTGCTGCTAAATCTTATGTTTTGTAGCAAAGAGTGTATTAGGACCGTATTAGGAAGTGGATTTTCAGTGGGAAGATGGTAAAGAAAGGAATGCTTAAAAAGCCCTTAATTCTACCTACAGTCTCAGATGCAGTGAATTTAAAAGAGGGGGAATCCTAGTCATAGGATTCACAGATGTTATTAATGGCATATCTAGTATAACTGGAGCTTTGGCTTTCATTTCTGAAATCTGAGTGTTTGAACTCTGTATTGGATCTGGATAAGTTAGGAAAGTTTTGCAGAATATGAAAGATGTTCTTTCTAAATTCCCTGTTGAAAAATGAATCTAAAATGATGGTTAGTTTCTTAGCATCTCATAATTGGAAACAAGCCACTATTGGGTACAAAGAATGTCCTAATTTGAATTTTTTAAATATATTAATTGCAGGACAAACAGCACTCCACATTGCAGCAGTTAATCAAAATGTTCACTTGGTGCAATGTCTGCTGAAGAAGAGGGCTCACATTTCTACTCCTCGAGCTACAGGACACTTCTTCAGTCGTAACTCCTCACATCGCTCCTATTTTGGTATGATTCCATCTGTTGCTCCAGAGGACAGAGTTAACTTCATTAGCAGAAGAGAGTCAGCGCTCCACAGAGTTAGCTCTGCTCCTCAAAAGTTCTTTTCTATCCCTCCTGTTACTGCTGGATCTGTCACTTTAGTAAAGAAATCTTAGACTGGTTTTATCTGCAAATGAGTAAATATAATGGGATGAATCAATATTTAATCATACAGGTAATTTTCAACTTAATGGCCAGTCATTTAATGACTGCTCAAAGTTATGACCGCCTTGGAAAAAAGACCTGCAGTATGCAGTCACATGACTGCATTTCAGCAACCAGGTCTCATTTATGACAAGTTATAATAATATCTTGCAAGTCACCTGTTCACTTTTTGTGACCTTTTTTTGCCATTTTCCATTATCCAACGTCTATTGGATTAGCTGAATTTGGATTTACAAGTACACGATTTTAATGACCGTAATGATTTGCTTTATGACCATCATAAACATGGTTGTAAAATTGAGCCTAGTCACATGGTGACTTGACTTACAGCCACAAATTTGATCAATTGAGGACAACATGTAATTAAAGAAGAATCCTTGAAATAATATCTTAAATCCCACTACCGTGAACCCTAAGGTTAGTCTGGATTCAATACATTATTTTATTTAGATCATGTATGCAGAGGCATGGCTTTCCTAAATACGCAGCTCTCATATTAAAAGTACAAAACAAAAGAAAACTATTTAATGAAAACTGATTTGTCAAGGGCTACTTATTCATTGATCCTCCAACATAAATGGAATCAGCTAAACAGTGAACCCTAATTATGAGTCTCAGAATAGTTTTTTATTTCATTACTGAAACTTTGTTTTAATTTTGTTTTCCCTCACAAATTCTTCCATAGGGGAGCATGTTTTATCTTTTGCAGCCTGTGTGGGCAATGAGGAGATTGTTCGTCTATTAATTGAAAATGGAGCTGATATCAGGGCACAAGATTCTCTAGGTAAGATGCCCACAATCAACATGTAAAAACATAGATTGTTTTTGGTAGAAACAATAAGGAATTATACCTGGTTTGAATTTGATAGACCATTAAGTAATCAAACACTTGGCACTTACGTACAATTATATGACAGCATTTAATATGTTTTTTTAATACCGTGTTTCTCCGAAAATAAGACTCTGTCTTATATTTTTTTAACCTTGAAATAAGCGCTTGGCCTTATTGCCATGCGCTCAAAAGCCCGATTGGACTTATTATCAGGGGATGTCTTATTTTGGGGGAAAACAGGGTAGTTATCTTTTAATTCTTAGGAATTTTTTGGTGTTTTATTTTTCTTTTTCTCTGTAACACACCTCTGTCAAAATGCTATATAATAAAGTATGCCTCAGTTCTCAGCCTCACCAATAAATTTATTCCACTGATTCAAAATGGATATATAAAAATGAAACTTGTGTTCATGAAGAGCTAATAACAAAATCTGAATAATGCTTGTGAGACATTACTAAAATGGATTAATTCAGTAAGTATTAACCAATTGTGCAGTGGTGTAAGAGCAGTTCTCACATTGTTTTGTCTCCAGGAAACACGGTTCTTCACATTCTAGTTCTTCAGCCAAACAGGACATTTGCATGCCAGATGTACAATCTCATCCTTTCCTATGACAAACAAGAAGGGAACTTGGAACCGTTGGACTTGATTCCCAACAATGAAGGTCTTACTCCATTCAAACTGGCTGGAGTTGAGGGTAACACTGTGGTGAGCACATGGTTTAGTTGATCCCTATGGGAATATTTTTTTGGAGGGGGGGAGAATTTTAAGAATATAATTAGTTTTAATATCTTGTTTTCTCCTCAGAAAAGCCCTAAACATTTATATTGGGCTCCCTGACATTAAATACTAATTAGACCAAAAGCCAGATTCAGAAGTTAAATATTGGATTGTTGTGGATTATTGTTTGGTGGTGTAGCAGGCTCATAATTTAGATCCTTTTTTCTTCATATACAAAGCACCAAAATTTAAAGTTCCATTTACGGGTTTCATGTTTTACCTAGGAATGGAAGGAAAATATACAACCCAAGTCTCATTTATATAATAACATACTTGGTACTTATTTAAGTCTGAGTAGTATACTCATGGTAGTATAAGCAAATCTTATTCCTTCAGATCATTTTCTGATGTAATTGTAATTCAAATTTATTTTTATTATGAACACCTCTTTCTCTTAATTGGAAATGTGATTTTTTTTTTCTTCTTTTGGGTGTTGTTTCAAGTCAGTCTTGACTCCTGGCAACTATATGGACTAGCTCCCTTCAGGCATGGTTTTTCAGAAATGATTTTGCTATTGCCTTGTTCTTAGGGGTTAAAGAGAGACAGAATGACTGGCTCAAGGTCATACAATTGACTTCATATCTAAAGCAAGACTTGGTTTTGGTAGATTAGAAAACAGACTCCTAGTTTCTAGATCAGTGCCTTTAATCAGGATCCTAATGGATAAATCAAGATCCTGATGGATAAAGTTCTGGATCCTAAAAGCTTATTTCCCTTTGAACCATTCAGGCTGTATTTCAGAATTTCTGCACTTTCATCCAATTCCAATGTCCAGAGTTGATTTATTTTGAAACACAATGCCATCTTTAATACATTCTAATACTGAATCTTATCAGCAATCTGATGTAAAACAATTCTGTGCTGTTTTTCTTTTTCAGATGTTCCAGCATCTTTTGCTAAAGCGTAAACAAATAATGTGGTCTTTGGGACCTATTACTACCATTCTCTATGACCTTACAGAAATTGATTCCTGGGGTGAAGACCAATCTTTTCTGGAACTTGTTGTATCAACAAAGAAAAGAGAGGTACTATGGAGCTCAGCTACTTTTAATCTTTGTAGAATGATGACTTATTGATTACTGAACAAGGAACTTGAATGTTCTCCTAGATCATGGGTGTCAAACTCACGACATCACGTGACATTTCGTGACTTTTTTCCTTTGTGGAGCTGGGGTGGGTGTGGCCTGCATGTGACTCATCTGGCCTGCGGGCCGCCAATTTGGCCCCTGTCCTAGATGTTCATATAAATTGCATTGTCTATGAACCTTTTGTCCAGCTGATGAAGAAGCAAAGATTGCTGAGATTCTGATAATGGAATTCACATCACAGACTTCAGGGATCAGATTAAGAGAAAAGTCTTTCAATGCAAATTGTACAATTATTTTTATTTATTTTATTTTATTTTATTTTTGAATTTGTATACCGCCCTTCTCCCTGAGGACTCAGGGCGGTGAACAGCCAAATAAAAACATCAAATACAAATATTAAAATACAGTTAAAAAATATATATAAATTTGGCCCCATTAATTAAAACAATAAACAAAACAATTAAAAACACTTAAAAAGAATTAGGCCAGCCCGGCTTGTTGGAAAAGGAAGGTTTTAAGGGCACGGCGGAAGGCACTGAGGTCATGGATTCTCCTTATCTCAGGGGGCAACTGATTCCAGAGGGTGGGAGCCCCCACAGAGAAGGCCCTCCCCCTGGGGGTCACCAGCCTGCATTGTTTGGCTGATGGCACCCCGAGGAGGCCCTCTCTGTGGGAGCTCACGGGTCGATGGGAGGTCGTCGGTGGCAGCAGGCGGTCTCGGAGATTACTAATATCTTGATTACAATTACTAATACAACAGGTGGACAATTTGATTGAATAAGCTAAACCTCCTGTACTCTTGTTACATTTTTTCATTCAAATAAAGAATTAGACTGTAGTCAAAATATTCATAACATAAATCACCTATTTTAAAATTTGCTCCTTCTGTATTTACAGCATGTTATCTGATGTTTTTTTTAAAAATAACAATTTAGAAGAGTCCACTATATAATTCTTTGATTTATAGAAAGTAATTTGTTGCATGGGGTTCTATTTGTTTGCTAATTTTATTTTTCATTCATTTCTGAAAATGATCCTAGAAAGTTCAAAATTTCCTTCAAATAATGTATAGTTAATTGGTTCATTTTGTTTATATAACAGCTTTCTTCCTGGAGTGGGAAGGTGATTTACACAATGTTTCCACCTCCAGATTTTTTTTCTCCAAAACAACCCTTTGACGTAGGTTGGGTTGAAAAAGGATTGGCTCAGTGCACCCAGTTCCCTAGGTCAATGTGGACTTGAAGCTGTCTCTCCCAACACTAGGTTCCAGAGTTCCACAGAACTTGGATGGCTAGTATTCAGCAGGATTTATTTAAGGGCCCAGGAATTATATAAAACATTAACAGTATTACTGTTTGTAATGGAGTTAGTGATATGATAAAGATTAATCTGGAACTCGTTCCTTTATTTAGCCTTATTTGAATCCCCCCGCCCGTTTATTTGTTTCCTGTAGTTAACTTCTCATTACAAAATTGTAATTTGCCTTTTGACCTTGTGCCAAAAAGCCCCTTCTTGTGTTCCTCCACCCCCACTTTCCAAATTTGCATTGTACTTAAGGATGCAAGAGATGCAACTGTACAGTAAAGTGTTTTAGTCTCTGAAATGTTATTCCCAAAATAGAAAAAGCTTCACAAGTCTTTATGGAACTGTAGATGGTGAAGAGATTTATATCCTGCCATTATTTTATAGTTTGTTTGGTAATAACTTAAGCATTGTAGCACCCTCTATTTATTTTAAGGCAAGGGCTGTAGCTCAGAGATAAATAATTTACTTTGAATTCAAACTTTCTTGGTTTTAATTCCTGGCATGATGGAGATACCATTGAGGATCACGCTTTCTCAAATGTTAGTAAGCCATTGTTAGTCAACTTTGCCACCTTGTAATTGTTCATTCCATCTCTGGTTGTAACTGACAAAACAGATCAATTGTCCTGGAAAGATAAATTGTTTTGCCTACTAAGACCTTGTTAACCATACTGGATTTTGCATGTGCTATCTGGCTGTCATCATGTTAAATTTAATAACTTGTGAAGCGTATGGGAAGGTTCTTTTTTTTAAAACAACTTACGGTCATCATTAACTTTACAACACCAATTTCCAACTTTACTTTTGTGAAGATTATATATGACATTTGACAGCTTTTGACTTCTTCAAACCATAAACATAATCAGAAAAAAAGTAACTGCATTTAGTTAAAATCATATTCACAGATGGTAGCACTCTTGAGTAATGAGACAATTCACTTCAAATTTCTGTCCTTATATATATATTTTATTCACTGGGGATCATTCCACATCTTAAATAAATTTTTAATCTTTCCCCTGTTCTGTCAATTTCAGGTTTAGGACTGATCATTGAGTGTCATTACAGATCCCAGACACTATCCATTGAGGAGTGTAGCTCTACACTGGTTAGACTCATAGATTGCCATAAGCCTTGGTTTATTTCAATTCAGCTTACTTAAAAAAGAAAACCCATTCCTTAGCATATGTATGAAGTTAGCAACATATATTTTTTAATATTTTAAAGGAAGCTGGCAAATTTATTAATTTGTGTGTTTAAAATAGAATCAGTTCACCCCTTCTTCTTATGTAAAATGATATACATTTTACAAGTGTAACTGAGTTCAGTGAATAATATTTGTTGTATTGATCCGTAGTTTAGAATGCAGTAAATTAATCCTAAAATTCTTTATATATATATATATATAAAGAAGTTTTTCGACAGAGTAAAAACAGTACAAATTTTAAGTTCAACGTAAGAGAAATAAAAATAATCAAAAAGTGAAAAAAAGAAAAATGTAGAAAAGAAGAAAAATAGAATAAATAGAAGTCATTCCGAATCTTCTTAGCAGCAGTTAAAAGTACATTTACATTTTATCATCTCTCTCTAAAGATACATCAAAGTTAATTCTAAAATTCTAATGCAGAAAAAGGTGACTGATCTAATTAGTTTAATATTAGCATCATACCAAATCATGTAATATAAGGATTTATATGATTCACATATAATTCTAAGTCATAATATGACTTGCATCATCCATCCACTTAGCATTCTGATTATAACGGCGCATCACACCTAATTACATAATTTGTTATTTCAAACTGTGATTAGAAAATATACCTTCAATTAAGCTTTCTGATTCTGTTTATTGGTCAGAGCAAAACATGGCTTTGCAGTTCAGGTTTCATTTCAAACTGTAATCAAATTTCATAGTCATGGGTAGGCATGATTCGTAATGTAAACAATTCCATATAAATGAATGATCTACTAGTTTTCCTTCCCTGCATTCAGGAGACCTGGGATAATAAAATAATGGATCATACTAAGTAATCAGTGATTGCAATATACAGATGTCAGACTCTGGGCCCCACAATATTACCCATCTTGAAAGTTATATGAATTGAAATACAAATAGATAGACATTTGAATGCAAAACAAAATACCAGTAATAAGAATAAATTCTGATTCGGAGGCAGGGACAGAGTGAGACTCAGGAAATAAATGATATCCAATCTTTTAAAAAAATAGTGAGAGCTTAGAGGAGCTAATCATCTGGCCCAGGCCTGCCAAGATTGCTCAATCTAATTTTATCAAAGACCAGATTCCTTGTGTGACTAACTACACTTGATCAAATAAAGTATTCAATTCTTTTTTTAAAAATCCCCTTATTTATCATTGGCTAATCAATTCAGCATGTTGTCAAGCAGTTGATTTGAAGATAGAGGGAGAGACCTTAAAATACATATTAACTTAAATAAAACAGTGAGAGTGCCTGACGAATGAGGAAAGTATAACAAATTGAGCTCTAGTAGGGACATACCTGCTGAAAAAAAGTGAGGTATCTTTATAAATCAAATCATCTATGTTAAAAAAAGTTTTCAAACATAACACCAGTTTGCTGGATTGGGTATTTGACAAAGGGCTGTTTAGTTCATAAATATACTATATAAATTGTTGCTGAGTTCTTACTATACGATAGGCAATTGAAGTGACAGATCAATCCAATACAAAGTTATTGATGGGTACATTCATTGGAAAACACTGATGATTGTCAGTTCAGTAATATTTTATTACTGTATTACAGTACAGTAATATTTGCAGGAGAGTTTGCTTTTAAAAAAACTCAAGCACAAAACTAGCTAAAAGGACTAAACCATTGAACCCTTTAACCAATTTCATATTCATTTACAGAATATATAATAAGAATATGGTCTAGAGGTTTCTTTAAATTCCAAAGACATGCTTTTTCATGTTATGGATCATTTTTTAGCATATACTGACAAGTATATTGTCTACATACTAATGTGCAGGATTTTGCAAAATATACTATTAAATAAAGTGCTTTTTGATATAGATTGAATATGCATGTGCCAAATGCTAGATGCCAGGCAGAAATGCACCAGAATCAGAAGGGTCAAAAGAGATACGTATGAACCATAACCATTATGTGTACTTAGGCTAACTTTCAGGTAGGATTAAAGTGTACATATTAAGTATTAGGAAGGATTATGTAAGGAAAAGGATAGTCACCACCAAGTAAGGTAATTCATCAATTAAATTCATGGCAAAAAGCCCCCAATCCATGGCTAAACTAAGAAAGCCCAAATACTATAGAAGCTTCCCACTCCATAATCCCAGTAATTGATGTAATAATTTGATAATTTAATTTAGCTCTTGCATTCACACCTTTGGAAGTCACATATTTTCTAAGAACTTATTTTCTTTAAAGGCTTTAGTTCAGCATGAACAAAAATTAGAATGCCAATTTCATATTCATTTCATTTCATTTACTGTCAGGTTATTCCCCCTTCCCTATCCCTCAGCTCCAGTGTGGCAACACTGAAGCCTCATAATGGCCTCCGTCAGGTCAGCTTCAGGGTTGACATTTATGCAATCATTTGTCCAATGATCACATCCTTCTATTTTAAAAGACATCCATTGATTGCCAATGGTTTGAGGACTTAATTCAAAATATCTTTAAAACTGCATGCCTTGTTATGAACCTGCTGATCTGCAGAAGAGGCCTTTTGAAAGAAGATGCATAGTTTTATCAGGAGTGCATGAAGATCTTTTTTCTCCCAACTGCTCTCCAATTAAGGAATACCCTTTCTTTTGAAAGTTCACATGTCTTTCTCATGTTTTTAATCTTATCTTCTAATTTTTTTTTTCTTGGAATACTGCCTTGCAGTTCTTTGTGAAAGAAGGTATATAAGTGCCCCCAATATATAAAATTAAGTTAAATTTGAAAGAAAATATTATTAGGACCACACCAGTGGCTGATTTTTGAAATGTGGGACTTTTAGAGTTAATTACCAGGTGGTTTTTTTTCCCCTGCCTCTTCTTTCCAGGCTCGCCGTATCCTAGATATTACTCCTGTGAAGGAACTTGTGAACCTGAAGTGGAACACATATGGGCGCCCTTATTTCTATTTCCTGGCTTTGTTTTATGTCCTCTATATGATTTGCTTTACCATGTGCTGCGTTTATAGACCACTGAAAAATCGCTCAGATAATCGAACGAACGAGCGGGATAACACCATCATTGTGCAGAAAACATTGCAGGTATATTGGTGTATAACTACCGGTTTCTCTGTGAATCTAGGCAAATTGTAAAATAACTGTTTTCAAAATGCTGCACAGAAGAATTTTAAACTTTGCAAAAACTCTTTTTGAAAATGCTCCAAGAGGCCGTGAAGACAAAGGCTGCCTCAATTGTGAGAACAGCTTAAAGATAAGGGGGAAAAAATCACTGAATTTGCCAGCAAGGCTCTGGCTTTCACTAGCCTTTCTTGAATGAGTCATTCTCCCCTGATCCAAGGACAAATAATCTACATTTCTTAGATGGAAGATTAAAAAACGGAAGATCTTTCCTGGTATTCAACTGTACCTCTTCAGTCTGTAAATGGAAATTAGCATTTATTTACAACACTCCCTGCTATAAAAGCAAGGTAGCAAAGGAAAGATTCTACTCTTATTTTTTCACTGGCCTACAGTATTGGTTTCTATGTTTTCAGCAAAGATTTGGGGGTGGGGTAATACACGTTACTTGCGCAAGATCATCTTTTGGTTCACCTTTCCAATAACAGTTTCACTATCAAAACAATGCTGCCAAAAGAGAAATAATTAAATTAAACTACACTAAATAAATTAAACGTCTTGATGACACCAGTTCCAGATTTTTCAGATCTCTAACATCTCCTTAATTAGGACACTTTCCTGTTTTTAGGAATCATATCTGACATATGAGGATCAACTCAGGCTTGTGGGAGAGTTAATTACAGTGATAGGAGCCATGGCAATTTTACTCCTAGAGGTAAGGACAAAAGAATAAAGTTCTATTAAACTGATCTTCATTAAAATATACCAGATTGGCAGTTCTATCTGCCATTGGAGAGACACTGTATACCTAAGCAATCATATGTTATCTGAAATCAATATAATTGTCTTGAAAAACATGATGCTACTTATGCTACCTGTACTTCTGACTTCCCTATTGGGAAGTATCCAGAGTTAATTTTTGTTTTGGAAATAGTTAAAATAATTACAGATGAGCTGATTGTGGATGAATATAGCCAGTAATTGTTAGCAGGATCTGCATATACTGTAATAAAATAATTGAATCCATTTTTTAAAATCACTGTCTTACTAAATTTTACAGGCTTAAGGCATTTTATATTTTAAATTGTACCCTGTTTGGAGCATTTTAACATCTTTTCACATTTTGCTTGTTTAATCACCAATATTAAAATATTTTTTGAATGTCTTTATTCTGCAAAATTACTACTCTTAACGTGAAGTTTAGATCACTGACTTATCAAGGTGTTGCTAACTACTGAAAAGCAGGTGACATTTTTGATTGCTGATAGTTGTAGTGTATAGGTTTCTCTTTATAAAATCATGTCAGGTACAGGTAGTCCTTGACTTACAACAGTTCGCTTAGTGACCATTCAAAGTTACAACGGCACTGAAAAATGTGACTTATGAACGTTTTTCACAATTACAACTTTTGCAACATTTCCATGATCATGTGATCAAAATTTAGATGCTTGGTAACTGGTTCATCTTATGACTGTTGGTATGTCCCAAGGTCATGTGATCACCTTTAATGATCTTCTGACAAGCAAAGTCAATGGGGAAGCCAGATTCAGTTAACAACTGGATTACTAATTTGTCAGTGATTCATTTAACAACTATGGCAAGGAAGGTCATAACATGGGGCAAAATTCACTTAACAAATATCTCACTTAACAACGGAAATTTTGGGCTTAATTGTGGTCATAAGGACTACCTGTATTAACAACATTGTCCTCATAATGGCTTGTTTTTCTCTATTTTTTCCTTGACTTGGGCACAAAATATGTTCTGAACTCTCTGTACCGTTGAGTCAATTTCTAGAGGTAGACTCAGCACATTGATGATTTCAGTCCTCAGTTGGTTATAAACTTTTGATATATATTTCATTTTTTTAATAGATTCCAGATATTCTAAGAGTTGGAGCTACAAAGTACTTTGGACAAACCATCCTGGGAGGACCTTTTCACATAATAATGTGAGACTCTACAGTTCCAAAACTCACAAATACTCTTTTTTTTCTTATATATATTCTGCCACTCTGTAATTTTCCTTTCACCATTTTTTCCTTCTATTTCTATCTGCTTCAAATCTAGATTTCTTTCTTTGCAAATTTGTGTCTCTTAACATCTGTTTAAATTCTGTCTGGCGGGGTTGACCTCTGAATCTCCTGAAAATATTGAAATTCCTCAGATGTTTCAACTTGAGATACATTAAAATTGACAACAAACAATTTTTCACAAGAAATACCTTGTTCCAGCAAAAGGGAACAAAGAGGCACTCTCCTTTCTGTGAATGCACATGAGCATATATTTACATGTATTGTCTGCTCATGTATGTTTAGGGCTCAGTTCTATCTTAATTAATTTTAGGTTGTATTAATTAATTACTCATTTTCACTTAGTTATATTATCCATTTACAGCATCACATATGCCTGTGTGATCCTGATAACCATGGTAATGCGACTCACCAGCACAAAAGGTGAAGTGGTCCCCATGTCCTTTGCCCTGGTGTTGGGCTGGTGCAACGTCATGTACTTTGCACGAGGATTTCAGATGCTTGGGCCTTTCACCATCATGATACAGAAGGTAAGGAAAGTAAAGCTAAAAACTGAAGTCAAACTGAGAAAGAATTCCATAGGTAGTCCTCAATTTACAACTATAAGTGGGCCTACAATTAATGGTTGTGATGCAGTCATAAGTCAAGGCATTGCATGACTGAATCAGTTTTGCAGTTGTTTGTGTGGTAGTTGTTAAGCAAATGTCGCAGTGATTAAACCAACTAATTTTCCCCAGTGGGTGATTTTTTGTTTGTCAGAAACTGGAAGTCAACACCAGAAACTGGCAAGAAATGTCACAATTTCTGTCACAATGGCAAGGAATGCTGCAAATGGCTGTAAAGCTGAGCTGGTTGCTAAGCAGCCAAAACGCAATCACATGACTGCAAGGGTGTGTGTGGCTATTGTAACTTCAAAAATGGGTTGTAAGTAGCTTTTGGGTGGGCCCAGTGTAATTTTGAATAGTTGTTAAGTGACTGGTTGTAAATTGAGAACTACTTGAATTTCTCTCAGAAGTACCCCTTTTCTAATAATTGGAACTGAGAATTTAAAGGTCAGACAATAGTGGGAAAAGGAGAGCTGGAGAAAAGTTAGACATAATAACATTATTGTTTTATCTTCTCTGCAGATGATATTTGGTGACCTTATACGTTTTTGTGGGCTAATGGCCGTTGTCATATTTGGCTTTGCCTCAGGTGAGCTCTAAAGGAAGATGTGAACTTCCAAGAATTATCCCAGTATTCTTTGAATATGCAGTCTGAGAATCTGTTAATGTCCTTATTATGCTAGTCATTTCTCCAGTGAAAAAATTTTTTTCCTATATATTTCCAGGTTTTTTGTTTTGTTTTTTTAAAAAATTGTACCCATGTTTTTGTAATAGCGGTGGCTTTCATAAGAACCCTGGAATTTTATGGAATTTTAAAGGAGTGCCATAGCAAGCAATCAATAGCAGATAATGCAATCTAAAACATAAATTATTTGGTATTCAATGCTGAGTTTTCACTGTCGTGCGCCTCAAGTGCTGGACATACGTTCAATGAATGTGATCCGTATAAAGGTAAAGGTAAAGGTTCCCTTCGCACATATGTGCTAGTCATTTCTGGCTCTAGGGGGCGGTGCTCATCTCTGTTTCAAAGCCGAAGAGCCAGCACTGTCCAAAGACATCTCCGTGGTCATGTGGCCGGCATGACTAAATGCCAAAGGCGTACAGAAAACTGTTACCTTCCCACCAAAGGTGGTCCCTATTTTTCTACTTGGATTTTTTACGTGGTTTCGAACTGCTAGGTTGGCAGAAGCTGGGAGAAGTAACGGGAGCTTACCCCGTTACGTGGCACTAGGGATTCAAACCGCTGAACTGCCAACCTTCTGATCAGCAAGCTCAGTGTCTTAGCCACTGAGCCACCGCGTCCATGTGTGATCAGTATACCAACTTAGAAATATTGACTGGTGTCTTCTTTGAACAAAATGCACTATAATTTGGAGGGGGAGGCAATATGCTCCTAAATATCACTGGAAGAAATAGAGGAATAAATAGCAGGAAATATTGTTATCTGTCTGTTGATAGCCATTGTTAAAAGGAATTCATCCAAAATGTGATATAATTTGGGGGCAACATGCTCCTGAATATTAGTGGAAGAAATGGAGGAATAAATAGCAGAATAAATTGTTGTCAATCTTTTGATGGCCATTGTTAAAACTGAGAAGAACAGATCCTTTGCTCTAATCTAGCATGGTTCTTATGTTTGGGAATTCTATAGGAAATGTACTGAGGTTTCTTGTGCAATTTTTTAAGAACAGAATGTTCTTAAGATACAAAGTTTAAAAGCCATTATTTTAGATGATGGTTTACCCTGAGCCTTCTGTTATTCTGGCTTCTCTATATATTTTTAGAAAATATACTATTGCACATTGTTGCCTACCGAACACACCCAATGACAGATTTTGCTCCTTTTCATCCATATCTGCATATCACTTGTTTAAAATTGCCTGCTTCTCATCTGCTTTTGTGGGACTTCTGCATATTCAGCATCCATATTCTGGATGTTGAATATCAGCATCCAGTTATTCAAGTTATGGAAGAGAAAGAAAAGAATTTACATGCCGGCCTTAGATTTTTCATGAGAATTAAGAGAGGCTATTAACTTTCAGGACAAGTAAACTCATAGAGAAAACATCAGCAGAAAGATAGATAAGGAATTAAGATTCTTGTGGCAAAGTAGTTGAAAGGAATAGTGGAAGATGTGGATGCCATTATCCGGTTGTATGTGTGTGAGTGTATATACTATGTATATGTAGCTGACTCCTCATTTTTGTTTCATCAACAGCTTTCTACATCATCTTTCAGACAGAAAATCCAAGCAATCTGGGACAATTCTACAATTATCCCATGTCTCTCTTCAGTACGTTCGAGCTCTTCCTTACCATCATAGATGGGCCAGCCAACTATGATGTGGATCTCCCATTCATGTTCTGTGTGGTGTATGCTGCTTTCGCTATCATTGCTGCTTTGCTCATGCTCAACCTGTTCATTGCCATGATGGGTGATACTCATTGGCGAGTAGCCAATGAACGGGATGAGCTTTGGCGAGCACAGGTGAGATTATAGTCATGCAGTGCAGTCTGTTGAGAAGTCATATATTTTTGCAGCTTTGGACATGTCTGCAGTGGAAATTTAGACCACCTTGCAACTGATTTAGTTGCCATGGCTCCCAATTAAGCATTTCTGGGGTTTGTGACTCTAAAAGGGATTGGAGTGTCCCAGAATTATCTTTTATAATTTTCCAATACAGTATATTTGGAAGAAATCATAACAATTAAATAAACTAGTCTATGTTAAGATAAAATTATAATACTGATATGCCCTTATGCTGTAAAGTTTTGTTATGGATGCCACTACTATTAGTTGGATGCTAATTTAATGTTAACACTTTCTAATTCATTCCAGTTCATTTAATGGATGCATACTTTTCAGCATAGAGGCTTGCAGATATGAATGAAAAATTTAAGGATTCAGATCCGTTATGCATGGCTAGTGAAAGAAGAAATGACAGTGTACTCATGTTTAAAGAACTGAGTCCAGAGACAATCTAAAGACCTCACAATTAGTTTCTATAATCAAGGCTGCAACCTGTGTAACAGGCTCACAACAAACAGCAAACATGGTGGAACTCACCTCTATGTATTACATTCAAATCCATTTCCCTTTTGCTTATGGTCCGTGCAGTTTTAATAGCTGAAAAGTCTTCAATTTGTTCATAACAACACAATGTAATGTTGAGGTTATTTTTGAATAGTTAAAGCTAAAAATAATTTAATTTATAATAATAATTTTAATTTAATAATAATAATAATATAATTATTATATAAAATTAATTATTTTATAAAATAAAATAATATAAAATTATAATAATAATTTTATTTCTATACCGCCCTTTTCCCGAAGAACTCAGCCTGATTAAAAGCACAAAGACAAACAAAATTTTAAAATAATTAAAATTATTAAATAATTGGCTCAATTATAAAACCCCCAAATTTAAAATCCCACATTTAAAACCAATTAAAATCTTTACATTGATAGCCCGGCCTGGTGGAACAACAGGGTCTTCAATGCGCAGCGAAACACCCGGAGGTCGGAGATCTTATGTATTTCCGGGGGCAGTTCATTCCAAAGGGCAGGGGCTCCCACAGAGAAGGCCCTCCCCCTGGGTGTCACCAGCTGGCATAATTTGGCCAACGGCACCCTGAGGAGACCCTCTCTGTGGGAGCGGACTGGCCGGTGGGAGGCTACTGGTGGCAGAAGACGGTCTCGAAGGTACCCAGGTCCAATGCCATGGACCAATTTGAAAGATACTTATATACAACTGTGATTATTCCCACATATCCTTTTTCTCATTCCTGCCAATGCAGTAATGCTGTGTCCATGTTGTACTCTACAAACTACAAATGCCACTTCATGTGGTATTATGCTTTGTCAGTCAAATTCTTTTCTGTTACAGATTAATTAACTATCCAGAAAATAAAGTCTAATCTATCTTCCTCTCCCCACCCCTCTAAATATAGAGAATTATTTCTTGTCCTATGCATGAAAGGGGAGAAATTGTTTTGAGAAGATGAAACATTTTTTATAAGAATGTTCTATCAATATGTTTGAGAGGGCTGTGTTCAAAAACCAGTAATCAGTTTGGGTGTTCTACCATAGGGAACAAAGAAACTCAAAGCAAGCTCTTCTACCCCGTATTTTTCATCCTGGGAACACCCATTTAGAATGCATAGTAATTCATGCTGAGTGCCTATCATCAAGGCTACAGAAAAATTGGCCACTTAATATTTTTTAAAAAAACCCTCTCATAGCACATAACAGAATCACCTATTAAGGATGACTGTGCAGTCATCCTTGCACAAACAGCCACAGAAATGATTCAAGAAAGGAAGCAAGAGCAATAGATTAATCTCAACACAGCCTACAAACAACATTAACAAAGGAAAAACATATTCCAGTAGGTAATGCACACAAACACACACACACACAAACACACACACACACACAGAGAGAGTATCTACTTAATGCACATGAGCAATGTATACATTTTGCCCTTGGTAACCATTGTAAATCTCAAAAATCAAGGCAACCTAATTTTTCCATTTGGCAACCTGACAGCTAAATAGTACAGCAGCACAGTGCACATGCTAAGACAACCCAGAGCAATAACATTCTATTATCAACAATCAATTAATTTTGCTATAGGATAACATGTACTTAATGTTCTTAATCTCAGAACATTGCCTAACTAATTCTCCCTCACTTCTCCCTTTCCCTCCTCAACCAGTTCTAGATAAAGACAACGGGGATGCAGCCTTTGCCTTATTAGCTTACCAGACTTCTTGGTTTGGAGGGTTTTAAAAAAAAAACTAACCAATCAAAGAACATTCTTTCACTGGAGATGAAACTTCAAAACATGGAGTATTTTATTAATTTGGAACACACAAAAGGATTATTTTATGTTCAGGATGTTTTTGCCTATGGCTTTTGAGCTGAAATCTGAACAGTTTGAAATCACATGCCTACAATCTAATTATGTCAGCGAGAATTCTTATACATGAAACTTTATTTTACATAACTTGCTAGCTTGTGGTTTTAACTGAATACCAATATTTATTCAGTGCATGCAAAATTAAACAAATCTGAAGAACTGTTTGTTTGTATGAAATATATAAAGATAGAACTACTTCACAGAGATAATAAAAAACTAATTCAAGCATAACCACATTTGCTACTGAACGTGATTGTGAAGTGGAAGGAGTCCCATTAAGCCAAGTGCACCTGGCTCTACCTGCTGTGTGCAGATTGTATTATGGGTATTTCCCTCAAAACTCAGCTTCCCTTTACAAAAGCTGAATTGTTTATATTCACATGAAGCCTCCACTACAGTACAGAATTTGTTAATTTTTTAAAAAACAGTTTTATTCCCTACCAAATCAAAAGACTCTCAACACCGTTAGCATTTAGTACAATTGAAGGATTAGTAAAATGGACCATCTCTAGTCATCTTAAAAATCCTATGGGGAGAGAGCTTTACAAACTTTGGGGATGTAGAATTGCCATGTCCCCTAATTCCAGCCCTCCCTGAGATATTCCCACAGGATGGGTGGATTTAATTCTGACAAAGCAGTGCCTGATAAGACTTAGAGCTACATAGATAAGGCTCTATAGGTCAGTATCAACATTTTGAAATGAGCCCAGAGGTTGTTTTAGGAGAGATGTTATTGTGCAAGGATGGACTGCCCACCAAAAATCTTATTGCCACATTCTGGACCAGTTGCTGCCTCAGATTGATCCAGAGGCTGGTGCCTTATAGAGCATGAAAAAAAATCACCTAGCCAGATGATGATCAAGACTCCCAAATAAACCATCTTGAGTACTTGTCTATCTCTAACTGTAGCAGAAGATTGCACTGTAAAATAGATGGTTGCTTCTGATTTTGTGTCTGGTCCCATTTGTATGGGTTTTTTTCCACTTTGGTTCCACATACTGAATTCTAATAAATTAAACCTAATGATGTATTTGAACCATTTTCTATTTTATTTTTGAATACAAAAGTTTACCTGGTTTTGTAGCAGGGTTGAATTAATCTGTTTGCTTTCATACAGGTTGTTGCTACTACAGTCATGCTTGAACGGAAACTCCCGCGATGTCTTTGGCCTCGCTCTGGTATTTGTGGCCAAGAGTATGGGTTAGGAGACAAATGGTTTCTCAGGTGAACTCCTTTTACCTAGTTGTATATTGCCTACAGGAATAGTCTCCAGTATAGTTAATGAAATATATCTAGGCACATGGATATAAGAACATAAAAAGCTGTTTATACCAAGCAGATACAGATAATCTGTTTAATTCTTGCTAAATTGATATCCAGCTTTTTAAATACAGGCTTTTTGTTTTTTACTTGAAAATGTCAGTGACTGAATCTCAATCTGGAAATTAGGTTTTCTAACTAAGGACAGAATCTGAGATTGGCACTCAAATGTGAAGTCAGAGGATAATAATACAAACCCGGTCCAGTAATTCTATTACTGCTTTCTACTTTGCGGGATTCAAGTTGCCTAACTATTACAAAGTCCAGATTTACATGCCCTACAGACAGGTGTACACCCATTCCCATGCTATCAAAACTGGGTCCTAGGTTCAAACCAGAATTTTTGTGGCTCAAGACCTGGAGAGCTGAATAATAAGAGAGCTTTATCAACGGCAGCAAAATCTGGAATCTGGCTGCAGAGTCTAATGCTTGCTGGAGAGTTAGATTGATTAGTTCTGGCCTTGAACCTGTTTTCATAATGAGTGATCTTGGCTAAACCTGCCATGTTAGTTTCATTAAGTTTTTAGTGGTGGGAGTGTGGCATTTGTTCTTTTAGGATTTTTTTTCATTATGACGTAGGCTACCCAGGGTCATCTGGAATTGGGTGGTCTCTAAAATAAACAAGTCATTACTTTTATTTGCTCTCCTTTTCACAGGGTGGAAGAGCGTCTGGATATCAGCAAGCACAAGATGTTACGCTATGCAGAAGCATTTAAAAACCAAGACAAAGAGGATTTTGATAAGTATTCTGGGAAACTATACCAACCCGAACCTTTCCGATTCAAGAAAGAAACATCTCCATCGGTCTCACGAAGCACTACTCTAAGTAGCTTCCACCGTGGTTGGCAAATCCTGCGGAACAACACCTTCAGCCACCTTCGTGGGGAAGTAAATCACGCTTTGGAAGAAGAGATCTATCACGTATGATATGCCTCTTGAATGACTGGTCACATTACTGGTGCTTTGGGCTACTTCACAAATTCTTCCAGTAGTTGGTGGGATCTGGGAGCAGTAATCTCAGGATTCAGGATGACTTCTGTCTTCAGTTCAGATGGCTTCAGTTCATCTTTTCCCTTGTTCTCTGAAGGACCAACTCTGCAGAAAATTTAGATTAAAGCAAGAAAAAAAATAAACAAACTAGCTAACTTCTAGCAATCCAGAAACTTTTTAAGAAGCTGAGTGTCAGTTCCACCAAAAGGACTGAAAAAAAGTTACTGTTTTTTTATATAGGACTCCAATGCACTTTAAGTTAAATAGGTGACATGGAATTTTATCCCGGGTACAATTTTTGTAGTCAATATGATAGGATTTCTTTTCTTAGCTGAACTGAATTCTAATATTTCCCTTGGGGAGAGGAATAACGAAAAGGTTTACAAACTTAATTGTATTAATATACAGCCTCCTCTGTTTATTCTTGCTGGCTTGGAATCCAGCCTGTTACTACTCTTGACCTGTTTGACAGCTATTATACAGGACCAGAATTTTGCTTAGAGGAAATCTAAAAATAAAACCCTAATTAACTAAAACCCTAACTTTAAGTCACCTTTGTAGCTGAACTTCCCAAAAGTATTGTGTTTCCTTAAGAAGGCATCAAGATTTGTTTAAAGTGGAATACAAAGTAATACTAAACATTTTTACTCAACCAAAAATAACTGCAATTAATTTGAGTGAAATGTTTCAGAGGGCTTCTTTTCGCAGTCTCTACTTCCAAAGTAGTGGTTCAAAGATGGCCTTTCCTACGAATCCAACTTGAAAAGATCATCTTTCCAAATATAAAGTGAAACAAAGCAAGTGTTTCTTTAATTTATCTCTAGCTATCACTTCAAACTTTACTCCAGAAGGAAAAAGCCAATATTTCATCACTTAAAGCAAATTAATGACTTACTGCCTTTCCAGCAGCTGAGTGGAAAGTTACTCCAATTCCTTTGTAGCAGGAGCAATGAGCAACGGTTCTAACTGGTCATATTTGCTTTTCGATTGCCCTCGTATATTGACCTGAACTATGTAGCATCAAAGCATACAGTTTTCAGGCATTGTCAGTCTGATTCCTGCTTGATCTACTATTGCACGAATTTGGCTCTGGCCTTCAAGGATAAGTTGGCTTCTCATTCCATAACAAAAATGCATTTTCTATGCACAGATGTCTGGCAACTCAGGAATTTCCAGCTGTATGTTAAGGTTTGTCACGGTGGCCAAGGGTTCCTGGATGCTTGGTACTGCTACGAATGATCTTGCCCTTGGTTGGGCTTGAGAAAAGAAAGCTATGAGTGCATTCTCGGACTACCTTCAGAGGCCAACTAAATGTTGGATTGGGAGGGTGCCACTTAAATTGGTTTCAAACCCAGAAGATGCCTCTCTGCCCCCTCTGAACCTCTCTGAACTCAGACTTGGGGTGAGGGAAGGATTTCTAAAGAAATGGGGATGAATTTTTTTAATCCAAGGATGAAGTTGAGAAACTACCTCTTCAAGTTGAAGTTGGAGATTTGTCAAATCACTGTGATGAACTGAACAAGTCTTGATTAGTTATGGTTATATGTATTTCCTTTATAGAATTTTGCACTATATGTCTGTGAAAATACAATTTGCACATGTATAAAACTGATCTGTGATGCTTTAGGGAGTTTGAAAGGCAATTTCATTTCATGCCTTAATATTCTGATTTCATATTCTCTCAAATGAAGTATTAGTTAAAGAAATTCCTTAAGGGTTATTCGTAGTTTAGTAATTTCTCTAGCTGGCACAGATTTATAGTTTCTCCAAGTGATTGGACAAGGATTTGAATTAGTTTGAACATTGGTTTGGACAAGAAATGATTGGACAAGCACTGAAGATGTTACCCAGTCTGCTAATAAAACAACTATAAAACAAAATAAAGGAAGCGAATAATCAAGCTCAGAGACCCCCAAGGACTGCATGACTGAACAAGGGCCTGCACCATGGCTCACTTCATCTATGATGTAATTAATGGGATACCAGGATATTTGGGGTAGTGGCATTGGTCCTTTTTCCTGGACTCTGCCAGGAAATTATGTTTTAGAATATCCACTGATTAAAATATAATCTTGCTGCCTAACAGGAATAGAATGCATAATTTCAGCTCAGTCTTCTTTCTAACGTTCAGCCTTTGGAGATACAGGATTTTATCAGTGGTGATTTTTTTTTTAGTAAGGCAGCAATCAAGTCGAAAGTAACATAATCCAGAAAAAATGGCACATTGAGCTGAGATCTTAAATCAAGGCAGAAGATGTCCAATGCAATGCAAATTTGCAGCAGCTTTGAGCTAACTTTCAGGCTTCCATTTTTTATATAGAAATATGATTTATTGATGAAGTAAGCAGAAAGATATGAATATAAATCACATTGTAAATCTCTTGAAGCTTATCAAGATTTGCCTTAGAGGAACTGAATATTGTTTTAACCATCCCTAGCTCTCAAGGGAAATGAGTCTAAAGGGATCACATTGTTAATCCCTTTTGCTCCCAACGGTTTAATCATTTATAGTAAATTAAGCTAATATAAATACAAACAATTGTTTTAATTTGTAGATTGGTTTTTCTGAGTTCATTTTGTTTGAAGTTGCACTTTCTTACTTTTGTGTGTCATATTAATGTAGACATTTTTTACACTTTGCTAAAAGCATTTAATAAAATTTGAGATTCAATCAAAATAAATGTATAATTTTATACTACAAAATATGTTGCGGTCTAAATTAGAAAGTTACAACAATCATGTTAAGATTTCACATATAATTTGATTCCTAATGAGTTAGCAATTTTTAAAGACTTTGCTATGTTGCCACAAGCCATTTCAAAACCTTCAATTAATTGAACTTTACAACTAAGCCAGGGCGTATTCTGAATGCCACTAATAACAAATGAAAAAGTCCAGTGTATTCGAGCTCTGTAGAAATAGCTATCTATTTGTATATATGTTACATCATAATTTTTAGCAATATGTACATTTTTAATACAAGCCTCATCCAATGTTTTCTGTATGGTGCAATTGTTTTTTTGGTGATATATATATTTTAATGGTGTGACTTGAAGAACAAGCTTTCTCACAGTTTTGCACGTCACTTGGAGAATTTTAACAGCCAAACACATCTGAATACTTTCTGAAGGATAATCAAGTGGAGGATTGGATAGCACCTAGAAACAAACAAGATGATTACTAGAAGCCAGCATGGGTTGTTAAAAACATATCAGACAAGCCTTTTTTGACAAAATAAATTAATGGGTCAGCAAAACGCTGTGGATGTAGTATACTTGGACTTCAGCAAGGCATTTGACCACAACCTACTTCTTGGTAAGATAGAACAATGTGGGGTAGACAGTACCACCATCAGATTGATTTATAATTGGCTGACCTACTGAACTCTGGATAGTCCTCAACGGAACTACATCTAATGGAGGGAAACATTGAGTCTTGGGACCCAGTACTCTTCAACATCTTCATAAATGATCTATATGAGGGGATAGAAGAACTCATCAAATTTGCTGATGACACAAAGCTGGGGGGAATTGCTAACACCTTGGAAGATGGACTCAAGATTTAGAAAGATCTTGATAAACCTGCACATTGGGCCCAATCCAACAAAATGCAGTTCAGTGGTGAGAAAAGTAAGGTCCTGCACTTTTAAGCAGGAAATCTAGGTACCCTAGTAGCTGCGGTAGCGCAGTGGTTAGAGTGCAGTACTGCAGTACTTCTGCTGATCACTGGCTGCCAGCAGTTTGGCAAATCGAATCTCACCAGGCTTAAGGTTGACTCAGCCTTTCATTCCTTCTGAGGTCGGTAAAATGAGGACCCAGATTGTTGGGGACAATATGCTGACTCTGTAAACTGCTTGGAGAGGCTGTAAAGCACTATGAAGCGGTATATAAATCTAAACTGCTATTGCTATTGCTATTGGATCACCCTAGTAAGCCAGCAGTATGCTTACAAGCTGCCAAAAAGCCAATGCAGTCCTAGGCTGCATCAACAGAGGGATAGAGTCAAGACAATACTTAGAATACTGCATACAGTTCTGGTCACCACGATTCAAAAAAGATGTTGGGCCACTGGAAAGTGCACAAAGAGCAACGAAGACGATAAAGGGTCTGGAAGCTAAATCATGATGAACAGTTGAAGAACCTAGGTATCAAAGAGATCAAAGAGAAGGAGTGGGGGTGGGATGGCAACTGTCTTGAAGGGCTGTCACAAAGTAAGTGGATTGATTTATTCTTGAGGGCACATGAAGGCAAGACAAGTAATAGGTGGAACCTTGTTAAAAAGAGATCTAAAGTAAGGAGAAATTTTCTGACAGAATAATTAATGGAATAGCTTGCCTCCTGGGTTGTGGATGCTTCATCGCTGAAGATTTTCAAAAATAGATTGGACAACCATTTGACTGGAATGGTATAAGGCTTCTGCCTTGAGCAGAGGGTTGGTCTATAAAACCCCAGAGGAAACTTCCAGCTCTATGATTCTATGATTCTATCTATAATATGTAAAAGCTATTAACAGTAGGCTTTGTTTAAGAAAATCAGCACTTATGTCTAACCTGCATGGAGGACACACATTATTTAAAAAAGTTCAAAAAACAAATCTTTGCTACATTATCATTTCATTCAGTAGTACTCAGGAGTCTTAACTGGAAAGTTTTCAAATCTCTCCTAGTGAGATAATCCCAAAGTATGTGCATAAACAATATCCAGAAATCAACAATCCTTGATCAAAACGTTTTTTTAAAAAAGCGAATTATCTTTGGTGGTGTTGTCCATGTTCCACAAAATGAAAATATTCAGAATAAATCTATTGAACCTTCTTGAATATATCTACCTATTTTCTGTATTATATTTATTTCTTGGGTAAATGCATATTATTCTTTAAAAAAAAACCTTTTAAGCAAAACAGAGACACAACTTCTGATAAATAAAATAGAAATGGCAGGCTTTTAGAATGATACAACCTATTTAGACTGAGGAAGGAAGAAAGAATATTTATATAAATTATTAATCCAAAATGAGAAAAACTGTTCAACCTAATGTTCTGTATGTATAGTGAGTTTATTTTTTTGAAAAAATAAAGGACAAGCTTGAAAAAGAGACAAAGAAGTTCATAGAATTGCACTTTTTTATGTTTATAATTTTACTTTAATTCAGGAGCAAAACCTTTCCAAAATGCATATTTTAATAAAGATGTCTAAATATCAAACAATATACAGAAATTTATTTTAAAAAGTCAATTCAATTTCCATATTTTTCCACATGAATATGAAAAGCTGCATTAAGTGGTACCATTCATACCACAAAAGTTAAATGTTCAAAATAAAGGACGAAAGTGAGTTATTGAAAAATGAATAAATCTAAAGGATAGCTTTCTGAAATAAATAGCTGTCCATATATCCTACAATGGATATATGGTCATTGTATCATAGAATAACAGAGTTGAAACAGAGATATAGGCTCCAGCAGTCCCTCAGCTTGCTTGCAGCCATATGTGTGATATGATTTATTCTTTTTTTCCCCAGAGACTGGTCAAAAGATGGGAATAATAATAAATTGAAAATTTGTTAAGATGCCAGAAAGTTCTCTTATTCAGTTTTATATTACAGTTTCTCAACATCTGTTTGAGGTGGAAGAAGAAAGTGATATGAAAGATGAGAAGAAAGCTTTTCACACTAGACTACCTGGGCTTGCATGTTTATTGCTGCAACAAAATCATAGCAGAATCATATTAAATCACACCTAATTGAGGTAGCAGCAATCTAACCTTCACCCAGGATTCTCCCAGCTGACGTCTTTTTTTTTATCTTCCATCTTACTTGCATGAGATGGATAGGTTGTTTACTTTTTATGTTAAGACATATTATCATCTTGTAAATGATAGCAATTACTGAGTTACTTGCCTTTGTGGGTAATCTAGAGCCATTTATGTTGTGCATAATTTAGCATCACCGTCATCAACTCTGTTCTGCTACTCAATTTACCTACATGTTTAGGTTGATTCTACATGTAATCAACATTTAGACCTGAATGACTTCAGGATCCAGTTCAGCTTCACAGAATCAGTCAGAATAATGCTCAGATTCTAATAGGTCAAGTCAAAATGCATGTGCATTTTGCAAATTCTTACCTCTTCATCCCTTGGGGCCTGTTCACAAATTAATGCTCATTATTTGATGCCTACCTGGTCTGTTATTCACAGATTGGATTATGAGCTGAATGTTGAGAATGTTGAGAATTTTATTTAGCTAGATATATTTTTACTTGTCTTCCTCATAAGAGCCCATGCAGCATTATGCCTTCCCTCACTGCATCTTTACTACAGTATATCCTATCAAGGTAGATCAGCATGTCCAAGGTAAACTTTATGACTAAGAAAGAATGTGAATCTTGGTCCCACAGGAGTTGCAGCAGGGTCCAGTAACAAAAGGAAGTTATTCTCTGTAAATTTATTTATGTAAAGTAGATGAAGAAATCCTTGGAAACGGGGGGAAATAAATCTCAACAGCTTGCAAAGCAATACAGTATTGTATAATAATAAATACTATGTAGTGAATGTCATGGATAAGTATGAATTAAATATGAAGTCTGTTGCCCACCATAAAGACAGAGTTACCAGCCCTCCTTAGCACTCATCTCTCACTGTTGCTGTGCCCCTGTATGCCACTGGTTTTGACAATGCAGCCCAGTTTCTGGCACTTTCCTCCAGTCACCTGAGATGGTATCCATTATCACACTATTGCTGGTTATTTTTTTTATTGCTGCCTCTCCCTAAAGCTACTGTGAGTTTGGTGAGCCATAACATTAACTGACTTGGCTTCCCCTCCCTCCACTTCTAGTCTCTACCAAGCCAGTCTGAAAGTAAGAAAGACTTACTTCTCCCCATCTTGCTATGGGAGTTCAGTCTTAATTAAATTCTACCTTTATCAGTTTGTATCTTCATAAGGGTGATGGTCAAATCTGGCCTTAGGCTCATGCAGAGTCCAACAAAACAGATTGAGATAGGAAGATAATTTTATTATAATTTATTCAGAATGTTCTGATAAAAAGAATCTCACCCAAAGAGGGAACCTCAAGACTCATCTTACATTCTCTTTTATAGTTAAGACACCAATGGAAATTAAAAAAGAAAAGTTTATTGGACAGGATAAAAGCATCCTCCCTTTGAGGATGAATAATTGAATAATTTATTCATTTATTTATTTATAAAATTTATTTATTTATTTATCAAATTTCTATACCGTCCTACTCCCGGAGGACTCAGGGCGGTGAACTCCCGGAGGACTCAGGGCGGTGAACAGCCAAGATAAAATACAGATAATACAAACATTAAAAATCCATTAAAATTATTAAATATTTTGGCCAAAAACAAATTTAAAACACCCAATTTATAAAACAAATTAAACAATTTAAAAATTTAAAAGGGAGAGTTAGGCCAGGCCAGCCTGCTGAAATAAAAATGTTTTGAGAGCACGACGAAACGTGCACAGATCCGGGATCCTCCGTATCTTTGGATGAAGCTCGTTCCAGATGGTAGGTGCCCCCACAGAGAAGACTCTCCCCCTGGGGGCCGCCAGTCAACACTGTTTGGCCGACGGCACCCTGAGAAGCCCCTCTCTATGGGAGCGTACTGGTCGGTGAGAGGCTATTGGTAGCAGAAGGCGGTCTCGTAAATACCCCAGTCCGATGCCATGGAGTGCTCTAAAGGTGGTAACTAAAACCTTGAAGCGCACCCGGAAGACCACCGGGAGCCAGTGCAGCTCGTGCAGAAGGGGGGTAACATGGGAGCACCACGCCGCTCCCATAACCACCCACGCCGCCGCATTCTGGACCAGCTGGAGCCTCTGGGTGCTTCTCAAGGGGAGCCCCATGTAGAGAGCATTGCAGTAGTCCAGGCGGGAAGTAACGAGAGCATGAGTGACTGTATTTAACGAGTCCCGATCCAGAAAGGGACGCAACTGGTGAATCAGGTGGATCTGATAAAA